ACACACACATGCACACACATGCACACACACACACACACACACATACAGTTGGACAATACAGTTGAGCCAGATAGCTACTCTCCAGATATTTCCCAATTTTGCTAAAATGTAATGCTTTTGGTTTTGTTTTTTGTTTTTTAAATGTCCACTGAGAACGGAATTGGGGGACTTATCCATGCTCACCTCTGCTCCTTTTTCACTTCTGTTGTGGCCACCATGTATTAAAACTTTTTAGGGAAAAAAATTGTTTCAGGGACTCTCTAAGAATTTGTTTCTATCTCAGAAACAGCCTTGACACAGCTGGAACTGACGTGAACCAGTCCCTGCTTGAGAACAGTGTTTGCAGCAACTGTTGTTAGTTTATCTCAGAGCAATATTGTGTTATATATTTTACTGATTTTTTAAATTCATATATATATTTAATCTGTATGCTGGATCTGGAACTGTTGCTCTAAGTTACTTTCTACTGAAGTATCATATAGCTTAAATTGGAAGACCTGAAGGGCCAGGCTGGGGTTAGATCATTCTGGTGAAGAACTATCTATGTTGTCCCTAACAGATCATATCAACTTGATGGCACCTAATCAATCATAATCAAATAAACAAATTATAATACCAAACATGTCTCAACTTTGGCCATCCTGGATGGATGGAGCTGTTAGGAGTTATATTCCAGCAACAATTTGAGACTGACAGTTCCTTATCCCCACCTACTATAATTACATAATTATCAGCAACAACAATTGAAATAACTACATACTTCTTCTCGTTTACTTTTGCCTTCATTCTTCACCTGCTCAATTTGCAATGTTGGCTGGATAAGGGCCAATAAATTGAGAATGAATCCTGGTAAGATGAAGATGCTAAGATTTTTGGATGATGGGTTCAGGAATAACCCAAGTTATACATAATATATTTTATAGCTGTAAATGATATAAAACATTAAATTTTATATGCATTCAATTTTTTGTAGTTTGAAAAGAAAAGCAGGCAGAAAAACACATTTTTCTCATTGCCTCCAAATGTCTAAAAATTTCATATTTGTACTGGCAAAATAATTAAAAGCCTATGTTGTATATTTCTTTTAATAAGTTTCATAAAATCAGTTTCTCCAGGGCTACTTTGATTATGTGCCATCATGTTGGTGTCAACTATTAGCAACCACATATATAGATTTTCTCCAGGAAGATCTATCCCCGGTCTGGTCCTTCAGGTCTTCCAACAGTGCATCCATTGTCACTGTGATTAAGTTCATCCAGCTTGCTGCTAGTCATTCTTTTCTTCCTTTTCCTTTCATCTTTCCCAACATTATAGATTTCTCAGGAGAGCTAGGTCTTCATGTAAGGGCTACTTTGCAGAAGGATTAAATTCCACTAAAAACTGATTGATGTAAATCTTTGTTTCATTACCATGCATCTTTTCCATTTGATGTGAAGAATATTCCAATTTAAAAACCAGTCAGACTGAATAAAGTGCAGAAATCTAAAGAACTAGGACAAATAATGTTCCAGAAACACTACAGAAAATAGATGTGTTTTTGGCATTGGTTACTCTGGTAGATAACTTTTCATCAGGACCTGATGTGGGGTGTATGTCCCTTTCACATCCTACCTGACCACTTGGCAGCATTCAATACCATCAACAATGGTATCTTTCTGGACCACATGCAAAGGTTAGAATTGATCAACCTTGTTTTCTCATCCTGGTTCCCACATGTGTGAGGTAAGAGGAGTGAATCTCCAAAATAATGTTTTTCTGGGGTGATAACCATCTTGTGGAACAGCTTCGCCCCAAGGTTCAGTTGGCACTCAGTTTGGAATTTTCCTGAAAGGCTATAAAGACAGCTTTACTGTAGGGCTTGGGAACTGAGTTCGGGTTTGTGCCTCAGGATGTATATTGTTATATGGTTATAGATCACTGTTTCTGTTTTTCTAGATTTTTGTGGTATGCTTTGTTTTTAGCAGTATTCTAAACAGCTGAGAATTGCTTTGGGCTTTGTGATGTAACAAATAAATGAATGAATGAAGAACTATGAACATATAGTTGGTATGTGTGTATCTGTGCACTATATGCTGTAAGTGAGAAGGAGAAATTTCTTTTATTTATTTTACAACTATAGCTATGGCATAAGTCCAATGTAACATTTCAGCTGTATTATTTTAAGAAACAGCTGCATGACACCCAACTTTCTGAGAAAAAAATGTTCCTCTGTCAGCATGTGACAAGGAGCACATAAAGGGTGCTAGTCCTTTATTCCCATTGACTTGACAGCTGACAGTTGCTTTCTGTGTGTAATGCCAGGAAAAAAGGAAGAAAAGCTCAGAACAAAATGGGCATTTTGGTTCATTAGAAAGAAAATGGGTAAGTGGTGCAACAGGAGTTTTTATATATATAAAATATTTCTTCATACCTTCCAATCATTTTCATGCTTTTTAAAGTAAATGAATATAAACTACAGGCCAAAAATTAATGGCACTTTGTAAATAGTGGCTTTTAAAATATACTTGCCACCATACACTGGAGTCATCCTTTCATAATCTCTCTCTTCTTTATACCAGGAAGAAGAAGAAAAAATAACATAGAGAATATCTGAGTCCCCCAGATGCTCCAAATTAATTTGAATTTGACATGAAGCTTTTACTTCTAGGAACTAGCTAACACAACAGAACACCATAGTCCTGCTTTACTATGATGAATGGAATAGCCAGCTGATTAAATCTGAGATTACAGGAGCATCAGGAACAATTTAAATTATGTAAGCGATGTCCATTCACACACACACATCTTCTGGCCATCCATCATCTACCAGTTAATATTTCAAGCCTAAGAAACTAAAATAAAGAAAAGAAAATCCAATAAATTATGGATATAAATAAACTTAATATTGCCACTGTATAACTTTTTTATTCCATAAGACTCAGACAAGAGTAAACAGCAGAATGTATAATTACTTAGATGCTGATAGTCACAGATGGCAGCAGAAGCTAGCTGTCCTTGAATGATCTCAAAAAACCTAAGCAGATTCGGAGCTGGGCTGGTAACAATTTGAATTCCATCACCCACCCAGTTCTCATGAAATAAACCTGTTAGGTGAGCCTATCAAAGATCTCATGTTATATGGTACAAAAGTGTCCAATGCAGTCAGCGCATACCTTAGCTGCTGCATTTCTCCTCTTCCATTGTAAGATCTCAAAGCTAACTGGTTAAGATTGCAAAGTGCGGGTTGAAAAGGAAGGGGAGAAAAGTCAGTTTGAATCTGAGATAATAGTGATAGTCTTCTTTTTAGTTTAAAAGTTAATAGTCTTGAAAAGTTGATATTCTTCGTTAAAACAGATTTTTCTGTTTAAATCATGTCTTCTGTGTTGATAGAAGATTGTGTGGAACTAAGAAAGTTGTTGGGAATCAGGGTGCCCTTTGATAATAGAATTCAGTTTAAAGTGACCCAGGGTAATGAGACAGAAAGCAGATAATAAGGTGTGGACTTGCATTTTGGCAAGAAGTATGGAAAAATGTCACCTTACTCTAAAATACAGAGAAATGTAGATCTTGATGAAAAGACCAAAGCACCAAGTCTGGGTCTGGCTGACTATCTTATTGCTGATATGCGGTTGGGTTTTCTTTTTTTGCTTGCCCATGTAATGTAATTAGTTATTCAGGACTGTTGATGTACTTTTTCTATCTTCTATATTATACTTTGTCAATCTATTGTCGGGCCTCTCAGTTAGTTTAGCTGGGAGCTCAGTGGTCACTGTTATGGAGTATTTTAAAAAAGAAATGCTGTTTCAGTTCTTAATTGTTTGGGTTTATATTGTAGTTATTTTTTTCCCCATTGACCCTTCTCTCTCTCCCCCCCTTTTTTTTTTGTTGTTGTTTGTTTAAGTATATAATTTTAATGTTGCTGGTTAGGTCTTTTGTCTCTTAATTGATTGTCTCAATTTTTCTTTTAATTATTATTTTCAATATTGCGTTGACTGGTGGAACAAACATTTTCTCTTCAAGGTCCAGTCAACCAACTCAATGCACCTAAAATATATGGATGGGATGAAGAGAGCAGGTACAGTGGTTAGAAGTGATTATTATGCTTCTTGCAGTCAATTCCTGAAGAACTACAAAATGGGGAAGGATTTGGATACCTGATTATGTTTCGGCCGGTTGGCTCCTTGAGCTGGACTAAAGCAGTGGTGACTTCAGTGGAAGCATCCAAATATGTCTACAGAAATGAAAGCATCCCGCCACTATTTCCCTTTGAAGTAAAAGTAGGTGTCTTTAATCATGAAGGAATAGGCACCCTGAGCCCAGTATCCCTTGTGTACTCTGGAGAGGATGGTAAGTAAAGTAGTACCTATCTCACTGTTTCTATCTATTTATGTCCTCTGAAACAGAATTTGGAAACCCACCTGAAATGCTGTCATTAATAGATTTGGTGCAATATGAGCATGATGTTATGGTGGTTTGATGCTTAATACACAGGAAATCTTTGAATGAAGACATAAATCTTACAGATTAGACTATAAACCTTATTACTTCAGATCTATTATGCAGTTTGTTCTATCTTTCACCTTAACAATTATGCAACTATGTTCACAATGTTTTCACCAATAGTCTGCTAAAAAATTAAGTAACAAGGTTTGCTGTGCCTATTCTTTTTCCTAGAGCCCCAGATAGCACCAACTGGCATTTCAATACAAAGCTTCTCGTCTTCTGAAGTGGAAGTCTCTTGGAACCCTCTTGCATGGAGCAGACATACTGGAAGGATTCTTGGCTATGAGGTGGTGTCATTGAAAACCTATTAGATATTATCAGCCAAAATATATGCTTCCCATCTGTATCCATCTGCTGTATTCTCTAAAATAACCTTGTCTGTTCACTAAGTTCACATGTGTTCTTTAGTGTACTTTCTCACCATCTGAATTTCACTTTTGACAACTGACCCTTTCTTTGATTTAAGTCATTTCTATCTCATTATGCCATTACAGGTAGAATGTTATCTTTAAAAAAAATTATGTCCCTTTTTTGGAAAGAAGGGAAGGAAGGAAGGAAGGAAGGAAGGAAGGAAGGAAGGAAGGAAGGAAGGAA